GTTTTTTTTAAAAAAAAAGTTATCAAGCTCTTAAAAAATCACCCGTTATTTCATTTATATACATACATATGTGCTGGTTTTCTTTGAGAAAAGGCAGATAATAAAAATAATTATTTTAAACAGAAAACAAAAAAAAAGAGTAGCTAACCAGACAGATATGTATGTACATGTGATAAGTATTTAGCGATATATTTATGACCGCGCTATTTTTATACATTTAGCCTTTCCCTTTCGTTTTTTACCAGCGCTGTGGTAGGTTTATTCGTAGTACTTGGCTAGTAGTTAAATATTAATTATTACGACGATTTCGAAGATAAGGTAGTATACAAATAACAAATACANGCGCTACATGCCACACAGCTCGCGATTCTATGGCCATTTTGAGGGAAAACTTCGGAGAACAATTCATCTCAAGAAATGGACCGGTAAGTTGGCCACCAAGATCATGCGATTTGACGCCTTTAGACTATTTTTTGTGGGGCTACGTCAAGTCTAAAGTCTACAGAAATAAGCCAGCAACTATTCCAGCTTTGGAAGACAACATTTCCGAAGAAATTCGGGCTATTCCGGCCGAAATGCTCGAAAAAGTTGCCCAAAATTGGACTTTCCGAATGGACCACCTAAGACGCAGCCGCGGTCAACATTTAAATGAAATTATCTTCAAAAAGTAAATGTCATGGACCAATCTAACGTTTCAAATAAAGAACCGATGAGATTTTGCAAATTTTATGCGTTTTTTTTAAAAAAAAAGTTATCAAGCTCTTAAAAAATCACCCGTTACAAGAAAAAACTTGTGAAGTGTTATTACTGCCACTGATTCCACTAGTTGTTGCTGTATTTTTTTACTGCCACTGGGCATAACTTGAGGCCATGACTGACAGCTGGCGTCTGGAGGCTGGTAGCTGCAAACCGACAGCCACATGACGCACCTGCATACTTAAGCTGATGCCAGATAAAACTTTGTAGCTTTGCGTGACATTTATAACTTTGCCAGCAAAGCGCCAGACGCAAAAGGTATGCCACAATGAACGCCAAGAAAACAATGTTGTACCGCTTTTTTACTCATCAAAGTTGCTGTGGATTTTAATTATTTTGATTTAAAATTATCAGCAATGTAATTAAGTTTTATGTTTCTGCATGAAAACCCGAATTTGGACGAAACAAAATAAATATTAAACCGGCTGATTGTCAAAGCGCGCAAAAAGATGGGAGTTGACCATCTTTTCGCTTCGCGCTGCCGCTTCAACGATTTATGTGGCATGCTTTGTGCATTTTCATACAATTCATCTTATCTGTCAAAGCGAATCTGTCACGTAAAGCGAAGCAAAAGTTTTATGTGACATCAGCTTTATAAACACATTTTACTTTTATTTATAACTTAAGCCGCAAAAACACAGCTTCAAAGTGTGAAGTGCATACAAATCAAAGGCATCTTTCTTTTACCATTAGCCCTTTTTTAAATGCCATGCAGCGCATTTGAACTTTGTAGAGCATCCATCCGCCGCTGGCGCGTCAACCGGCCTAGCGAAAGTGGCTGTAAATTTCGGCTTTTTTTAATATATATTTAAGTACGTGAAAATAATTTTACAGCTGCTACTTTTAACCGTTTTTGTTTTCACACACACACACACATTTTGAAAATCAATTACAGATGCTTGCCTAAAATGATGGCAGTAAATTTTAACAAATATGCTCTCAGTTTAGTTTTAAACGCTTATTTAAAATAATTATCTGCTTTTTAGACACTTAAGCTGGAATTTTTTTACCTTAACTGTGACCGATGGCTGGTTTATGGCAAATATATGTACATATGTAGGTATAATTGCTGATCCTAAATTATGAATTTTTTAGTTTGATTTACTGATTTTAATTTGCAGATTTTTTCGATGCACAAAAAAAGGTTTCTTTACAAGTGTAGTAGTTAATTATTACTTTCACAAAAATTTAAAAAAGTATATACTTAGCTTCAGTATGAAAAGAATGAAAAAAATTTCACATTTCTAATACTTGTACATTAGGCTGCCTCAAGAAGTAAAGTTGCGATTTTTTCAACGGAATTATGAAATGTATATTTTGGGAAAAATATTATGATTTACGTAAGCTGAAGCGATTAGAAAGTATGTTTGTATATAAAAAAATTTTATAAAATTTCTTAAGGATTTTATGCAGACGTCCTAATCAACAGAAGAGAATTTGTGCAAAAAAAAAAAATATTTTTAAAAATACATTTTATTTATAATTTTTTGAGGTACATATTTTGAAATTGGTCCCGTTCACGTAAATTATAATATTTCTCTGAAACAATTTGGCGGAAGTTTCAAAATATAAAAGATTTCATAATTACGATGGAAAACCAGTACCGATTTATTTTTTTTTTTTGGATGGAGAGTAATACCCCTTAATGTACATACATATATGTATTGAGTTTAGCGTTATACATTACCTTAGAACTACATCCCACAAATTGCGTTGAATTCATTCTATATATGTATTTCTGCTACTGATTTTATTTTTCACTCAGTTATTTGATTTTCTCGCGACGAAAAATTCGTTTACTAAAACTGCTGAAATGTGAATCCTCAAATTTTGAATGAATAAGCAAGTTGAACAGAAAGTTATTATGTAAATTCACTTATCAAAAGCAAAAACCAACCAGTGCTATGTGCAACCATACATTGGCTCATATATATATGTATATATGTTTACATTTCTCCGATTTTATTTTAATTCATTTTATCTACCAAGCAAACTCATCGCGATAAAAAGATAACAAATTCGCAGTGCTATTTAAAATATAAACGAAAATGTAAAAAAATGGAGAAAGAACCTTTGGCGTCAAGTTGGGAGGATTTTCATTATTAAAAAAAAAAACAACAACTGCATGCACACAAGTGGATACTGGTTACAGGAAAATTTGCGACAAGCGTAATTTTGTGCATAACAAATACAAGTAAAGACGAGGGACACGATATCGAACCGAAAGTATCGGCTATGGCTATCGACCTGTTGAGATTAACTGGCTCGGGGCCATCGACATGTGACATTTCGATGAACTAGGCAGCTACAAAGAAAATTTGTAGTAAACTAATTCAGAACTTATAACTTTTACTGCAGGGATTCCTTTAAACTATTTAAACACACAAATAGGCCACTGTATGTAACTGCACATATACCCGTATTATTACGAAATTTTTTGTTGTCATCAATCTACATTTAAATAGGAAGAATTGTGAATTATTTAACAACCATTTCAAACCACTTTTACGCTATTTGCTTGGCAATTTGACAACTATCAAAATTGCTAATGACTTTATTAACTTGGCGTATGCAGGCAAAATAATTGTTTCGTAAACACACTCGATTTCGCAACATTTATAATTTTGCTTGTAAGGTTTTACGACGTCTTGTAATAAATTTACTTATGATACCAGCCAGGATGCCTATAAAAAGCAGTTCTGCTAGAGCCGTAGAAGAAATTTTAAAGTTTTCGTGAATGTTTTTTTAAACAAAAATGTTGCCGGAAAAATATCTACTCAGCTTGTATTGGACCAGAATGTTTAATGTGTTAAGTTAGTGACTTGGCTGTGTTTTAATTTAAAGACAAATTTGCTTTACTCACTTTAAATAAATAAATATTGTTCCGCAGTGCAAAACTATCTATCGTCCACCACAACTTGCATTATTTGGTCTGAGAATGAAAACTTTTCAATCAACTGGGAGAATATCAATCCACCAGCCGGTGCAATCATAAACATCCGCTTGCGTGATTTGGAAGCATCTTTTGTTGAAGATGTTGTAGATTTTGCAGCCAAACGCGAAGAGCTACTCAATGATTATGTGGCATTGAATCCATTTGTGGAAAAGTTGACTTTGTCAATAGAAAAGTCACATTGTGAGGTGGGTTTTTTGTTTTGCGATTAGCTAAAGAAGAGTAGAGCTTTTGTTTTTATACCTCTTCCATTTCAGAGTTTCATTGCCTTTCAAATGGATATACCAATTTTCATTGAAGCGATTATAAATGCCAGTCGCTATTCAATTTGGCGTTCATTAAGCAATAAATTTGTATTCGTCTACAATGAGAATGCATTACAAGAAGTTGTCTTTCAGCATCGATTTTTTGAAGGTGGGTATTGGTTGTGTGTTAGTCAAAAGAAAACGACTGAAACATGCATATGCACGCGTCATTTTCCTTCCGCCCAATTCTTAATCTAAGCGAATATTTTCCTTCATACACCACAGATCAATCCGCCATACTTCTTATTGAGCGATCTAATGCGAATCCTGAAATTTTCGATTTGAAAACAAATAAATTTGTCGGTCCAAGAGCTGAGAATCCTAAAGAAATTTATTCGCTTGATCGTTTCAATGCCTCTGGCAACAATTTTCTACACGGCAGCAATCTTTTCCCGGATAAGTTGAAAAATCTGCAAGGACGTGAAGTGATTTTAGCAGCTTTCGACTATCGGCCGGATGTTATTTTGGAATATGTAAGACAAAATTAGCTTATCTCTTTAATATGAAATTATTTTTGAAGATTTTGTGGTTTCATTTGATATTTTTGATTTGTTTTATTTTAAGTATCCCGGCGCACCTTCGCATGACAGAGCTTTTGCACCCAACGATACTAATGGCGATGTCAAAATCGATGGCACGGAGGCCAGAATATTGAAGACCTTCTGCGAAATGTACAATTGTTCGATAGATATTGATAAATGTAAGTGTATCAACTGCATAATATTTGTTTAGTAATTTAGGCCCATGGGTAGAGTCGTTTGGTATAGTACGTGTGAAAAGCAAAGAGCTATTTTGAAATTGCATCAATGTAATTTAAAACAATTTTGGTTTATTACAAAAAGTCAATGCAGTGTTTGATTTAAAAACATAAATTCTGTCGTTAAAAAGTGCAGTTTATTTGTCAACACCAACGCTAAACTTTTTCAATTAAAGCCAAAAAATAGAAAACATAGTAAACTAAAGACTTGTTAAGTAAAAACGGAAACAGTTTAAATTTTTTATGCTATAAAGCGTGATTTTGCCTTTTCAATTTTAGAATTTCGTTACAAACAAAATAAAGGCTAAAGTGGCCGAGATAAACTTAAAAAATCTCAAAAATTTTCGAAAGGTTCCCGAAAAATGTTGAAAATCATGGAATGTTTTAAAACCCTATTGAACAACCCGTAAAATCTGGAAAAAATGTTTGAGAAAATCTCGAAGTCTCGAAAAATCACGAGTCGTTTAATTATTTTTTTTGCCAAGACTTGCGGAGACTTAAGAGCGAAATACACCACACAAGCGGTTTGACAAACCAAGCGAAATTTCCCTTTGCTTCAAGCCATTTGTGCTGTGTATGGGGGTGTTTGAAGGTTTGACAAACCGCCGTCAAACCTTCAAACACCCCCATACACAGCACAAATGGCTTGAAGCAAAGGGAAATTTCGCTTGGTTTGTCAAACCGCTTGTGTGGTGTATTTCGCTCTTTAGTCTTTGAGAGCATTGAGAAACTGAATTCAGCTGGTAGGTACAACGAGATTCAGCTGGAGTGGGTACCAGGTCACAAGAAAATAGACTCTGTGGCTCTGCAAAGGGTGATTCTAACTTACGACCGATTAAAAATGGCGAAAATTATTGGAATGGGGGCAAATGGGCAGTAATACGAAAATAAAGTTAGGGAGTGGCATCTCAATTTCTTCGTTTTTCATTTCCGACTTAGTTATGTAGAGTTAATCTGCGATTAAGCTCTTTATAAAGCGGAAGAGAGCAACTCCAAGCGCATACAAGAATCTTGAATTTTCCTACTCTCCGCAAGCAAACGGCCGGCGATGATCTACGCTGAGTTCTGTTAAATACGTTACGGGTTAGTCAGGAGGCCAGACTGATTACTTCGATCAGGTTAACTCATTACACATCGCATTCCCTTTGAAAATTCAACTGTCTTATTAAATCTGCTTACATTCCTGTACTAAACGAATTCAACATGCAACCGTCATAGACTACGTCGATTTACTCCTTTCTACACTACCATAATATTCAGCAGTCACATTTAAAAATAGAACTTTCAAAATAACACCCAAAGCACCAAGTTCTCGATTTTCTGCAGGGATATTTAACTGAGACAGTCAGGGGGATACAGTAAAAAGAATCGAAATTTATTCTCCTTTCCAGCGGATGTCGATGACTGGGGTATTGCTTACAGGAATATGACTGGAGAGGCCACTTTGGGCATGTTAGCTAAGGGCAAAGCTGAAGTGGGCATAAGCGCTATGTATACGTGGTAAGTTTAAGGATTGGGGAAGTGTACCTATGTAAATACTAATGTGATTACAACTATAAAGGTACTCTGATTATTTGGCATTGGATATGTCAATGTATATTGGACGCTCAGGTATAACTTGCGTGGTGCCAGCACCCAAGTGAGTGATTCATAAATTTTTTATTTTTTTTTTGTTTGAATTTGTAATTGCTCATAAATTACAGACGCTTGGCCAGTTGGCTACTACCCATCGAACCTTTTCAGCCGGCATTATGGGCTTTTGTGTTCGCTTGCTTGTGCGTTGAAATTCTAGCTCTCCTCTTCATAGACCATCTTCGTCCGGTAATTTACTCACTGAGCGAACGTTTGCCCTCAACAACGAAGACAAGTTGGTGGCATAATTTTGAGTATGCCTTCTCGACAACATTGCTGCTGTTTGTCTCGCAATCGAGTAAGGGCATCATGGTGGGTTTTACGCCACTGCGGATAATGCTTTTCGCATGTTTCCTGAATGACATTGTCATAACGAGCATTTATGGCGGTGGACTCTCCAGCATACTCACGGTACCTAGGTAAGGTTGTGAAGTTAAATATGTACATACATACAAACAAATTTTAAGAGCTTTGCATGTATAAGAAAGTTTTTCTAAGCTTCGGACAGGCAGCAGACTCCGTGGAACGCCTTTATGCTTTCCAGCTCAAGTGGGCCGGTGATTCCGAGGCATGGGTGGCAGCTATTAGGGATGATGACAGCGTAAGGTGGCCCTGATCGCTAAGCGGATCAGTATTTTATGATATAAATATAAGTGTTGCAAGGCATTGACTTTTTTATTTTTTTATGAATTTTGAATTTGCAGGAACTTATACAGGGTTTGTTGCGCAATTACGCCATACACAGCGAAGAAGAGCTGATAAAGTTGGCCGAAACCGGGGGAATGGGCTTCACTATTGAACGTTTACCCTTTGGTAAATTTTGTGTTTGAGTAAATATTTCATAATTATATAATGCGTAGCGATCCTTTGCTAGGACACTTCGCCGTGCAGGATCATTTGACTAGCAGCGTTTTAGATAGAATGAAAATTATGGTGGAAGATATCTACTTCCAGTACACAGTCGCATTCACCTCACGTATGTGGCCAATGTTGGAACGTTTCAACGAAATGGTTTACATGTGGCACTCATCTGGCTTCGATAAGTTTTGGGAGTGGCGCATTGTTGCTGACTATTTGGATGGCAATATACAGAAGATACTACTGGCTTCACAGTATGCCAACTTGGAGGATATTGGACCGGTTAAGTTGGGCATGTCGAACTTTGTGGGCATGTTGTTGTTATGGTTGTTGGGCATAGTCTTTGCAACGTTGGCTTTCATGGGAGAATTGTTATTTGCACGTATGAAACGGTCTAAGGAATCAGCTAAGAATGGAGTTGGTGAGCAGAGTATTGGAGAAATGTATTGAAAACAAAATTGAGAGAATAATATGTAGTATGGCTTAGTAGTACTTAAAGGCACTCTAAATATAGTATTTAAAAGCACAGCTAAATAAAGTACATAAGGGATTTTAGCTATAGCCGGTAGTATTGATACCCATAAAAGGAGACTAAGCAGAGAAATAAATTTAGATGAACATTTTTTGGTATTTATCGATTGTTCCGAGTTCTATGTGAAATTGACAAAATTGATTCTACTGGTTTTTACTCTTGAATGGAAAATATTAAAAGAAAAAAATGATATGGAAAATAATAAATAAAAAGGGTATTCATATTTTTGACGCAGACATATTTCTTGCATTTCATTAAAACAACTTATATTATAAGTTTCCCTTTATATTTCTATTGAAAGGGCATCTAAACTACAACTATGACTAGTTAATCCTTAAAATATTGTTTGGGAAACCAATGAAATATTGCTTTAAAGGGAAAATGGGCTATCTAGATATAAGTCCTTTTAACGAAATGCAACAGATTATTATAACTAGAAGTCCATAGTATCATAAAGATAATTAAATTAGCTTACAATATCACTGTCACCGAAAAGTAGATACGATAAGTGATGCATATTGGTTAAAAGCAGGAAAGCAAGACACATTAATTTTGTTGCCCAATCGTCACCTTTTACTTTCTGGAGCTAAGTCCGTAACGTTAATTCCATTCTGCTAGTAATTTATTTTTAGACATTCGTCTCTTTCTCGATTGCAACTAATGCTCTCCAAAGAAAGTTCTTCAGACACACATTTATATTGAAATATACTAGCAAACTGATTTATGTGCCTAAAAAGCGAAAGTGAAATTCCTCAGCGAAGCTAAATACGAATTGCAGTTATTGCATACATATCTACATCAAAACGTATCCGAAAGTATGAAATTTTGTGTAATTAAAAATTAGTTCAATTAGAATTGAATACAAATATTTCATAACTATTTTAAAAGATAAGTAATGCTAATGCAAGTTGCGCTATCAAAGGGGAAAGCCAAGCTGAAATCTGAGTCTTAGGTTGTCTTAAAGTGAGATTGGAATTAGCCACACAATGGCTGACTTTTTACTCCAACCAATTTAGCCAATATTCCAAGGATTTTCACTTTCTTCAAAACGCTTTTCCCAGGCGGATTTTGAGAAGTGATAGATAACTTGAGGTGCAGGTAGAGAAAAGCTCACGCTGATCCATATAAAGTAAAAAAAACAGCCTGTACTTATTTAAATGAATGCATAGAAAAAATCTTAAAATTTTTAGTCTTATTAGAAACAGAGGATACTGGCTTTAACAAAGTGTCGACTCCCACACTATTTCCTAATGACAACAAAATTTTTTACAGCCGTTTTTTTTTGCTCTGCTGAAAACTACCCATTTTCACATTCGATAGTTTGACATGGTAGCGAAATCTGAATCCTTTAAATGAGAACTTTCTGGTACTCTCTGTTCAGAAGTTATGTTCCCATCATTAATCTTCTTTATCTCATCCTCTTATATGTATACATATATGTAAGTAGATTAAAATGTTGAGTGAGGGTCAAAGTAAAACTGATAAATATATCACCAAAAGCTGCTCGTCGTCTATTAAGACAGGCGGAATTTCTTTGAAAAAGTGACTTAAAGGAAGGATTGGTTGGTTGGTTAAGAGGAGTAGTTTGTCAAGCTGTTGACAAGGAATTAACAAATTTTAGCCATTTTGAAGCCACACCCTTATAGTTATGTAACCGGTTAATAAAGCTTCTAATGCTATGACAAAGCCATATCTCTTCATGCTTTTATGGCAAAAGCTTTCGAGTATAAAAAAAATCATTGCTTCAAGCAAATTCAACTTAACCTCAAACATAACGTTATTTGATAACTTTCTATGCTGTAATTTTGACATTGTACGAGTATGTTGTAATAATCATTATGTGTTGAAGATTACGAACAAAAATTATTTTAATTATTTAAATAAAAAAGACAATTATTTGCAGAATTGAAAGTGAAACTTAAACACAAAAATGGCAAGCAGGCAACGACTCTCGAAAACGTCAGCCATCAAAAACGTCACAAACGTTTTTGTAATACTCGTACATATATACAGGTAAATATAGCCCTCGGCAATTCGACATAAAGACAGGCCGCCTATCCTGGCTTGTTGTTGTTAGCAATAAAAAGCGAATGACTGACGGGTACACGCTACAAAGACGAACAATAAGAAATTTATTTTTCTTACTTAAATAATTTCATATCATTATTATTAGATGGCATTCGTTAGTTGTTGTTGTTGTTGTCGAAATTATTACAACAACAATTTTATTCCGAACGTTGTAGCTAAAGCTAAGCACAATTCGCTCAAGTGACTAACTAACCAACAAACTAAATAGTCAGCGAGTAATTAAAAATTCAATGAGTGCATAATTGGCAGCAAAAACGACGGAGTCGTTCAGTAAGACCGAATGAATGCATAACGAAAGTGTCATTGCAGTGAGGTAAATACACATACATACATATAAGTATGTACATTAGACTGCATCACCAAAAAACATTGCGGTTTTTCCGTTGGGATTGCAAAATCTTTTTTTATTTTTAAACATCTACCAAAATATCTCGGAAAAATACTAAGATTTACGTGAGCTGGACCGATTTGAAAATGGAGTTTTTTATGAATAAAAATATTTTCTAAATCGGAATAGTTTAGGTTCAGTTATTCATGTTTTTCTTATACCACTCTACAGCATCAAAAATCCCATTATTACAATTCCGTTGAAAATTAAAAAATTTTTTTTTTTAATATTTTTATGGAAATTTTTTAAGCTTACACCGTTTTGCCATTTGATTGTTCCAGTAGAACTAGATATTTAAAAAAATTTGATTTCAATTTTATTTTTTGAGATGATCTGGTGTATAAGTACTAAATAGAATGGAGAATTTGAGGTTAATAAACTTTGGAAAAATTTGTCTTCTCGAGAAGGTTTAAAAAGGCGACCGATCCTTGGATTCGGTTAAGTAATTTTTTTTTTTTAGCTTAGCTTAAGTGGTGTACGAAGTACATTTTTTTTGTTTGCTTGTAAGGTGGTACGGTCTAATGTACATATGTATGTATGTGTTTTTGTTATCATTTCTCTGCGCATGCGTGCAATGCGATTCATATTTAGTTTGCAGAAGCCCATAAAAAAGTGCCAGCGATGTGTTTGGCATGCAAACAATTCATAATTCATGCACTCAGTACAAGTATGTATTATGCAAAAATATATGCATAGGTACTATAACTCAAATAAATGAATATGCATGTTAACGCATATTTTTGACTGTTGAAGGAATGCCACACCATAGTCTTTGGCAAGCAAACACATTTTGCTTGAAGCTCCATTCGTATTCTTTTTTTTATTATTTTTTCTTGTGACAGCGAAAAACGCTACCGTAACGCAATGAAAGTGCTTCCTTTTTGGTAGTCGCTATTTTTGTCTAAAGCAAAAGCAAAACCTTAACTAGCTTACGTGCAGACGAGTTTAGAGGCTTACTATGCATATTAACCTTTCAATCATGTGCCAACTGCTGGCCAAAAGCTCATTAGCCGGAGGTCTGCTGGACGTTGTCCGTTCTGCTGTTTATGCTTTCGTATACAAAAATTTCACCGTAATTGCTAAAGAGTTTTTTCTGAAGTATTTTCTCTTACTTTTTCTTAATTTTTTTGTTTTTTTTTTTTTTTTGTTTTTTGCTTTTTCGCACCTCACAAATGACCATGACCCAGTAAAAGAAAGCTTGACTGAGCAGACATTGGTGATGACTATCAGTGCGGCTGGCTATGCAAACGCATACATATGTACATATTGTTATTGGCCTTTGGATAGTACACTAATGAGCACCAAATGTAGTTAAGTGCTACTTACAAAATAAAAAATATATGTATATCGATAATTTTCCTGAAAAACATGCAACTAGTCCAGAATAACTCCGAGAACAGTTCCGAAGGCACATTCACCAGTTTCCCCATTCTATTTTTTTTCCAAATTATCTTGTGGAGAGTCTAGTTGTTACCTTTCTTATCCGAACAAGTATGAAAAGCGACTGTCGCTTGATAAGATTTGTACCGGCGCCCCGCGAGTAATTTTCCTTTGTTACACAGTACCCAATCTGTGGCGCCGACAACGCGAATGAAATTTTGCCATTTAAGTGCATTAAATCGTTAGGGTCGATTGCATCCCCAAGAGCTGAGTCGAGGACAAATTAGTCTCCAATTGCACTCTTCAGGAAGGGTCGTGCTATTTCTTAGGTTTCCGATTCACCAGGATTTGTTTCAATAATATTAATACATGTGTGCCTTTTGTTGCTGTTGCTTTTAGCAACCCTACCTAGAGTAATTTATATCGTAAATCCCAAGCTTTTTATGATACCGGATCAGAGCGAGAGTGGTGTTAGTTGAGACTGTTTTTGGGCGCAGCAGAAGAAGTAGCGGGTGTCATGGGCGTATCTTGGGCATTTTAGGGCCAAATATGGACAAGCAGAAGTTTCACCTGCTACAGTATTCGGAATGCAATTGCCCAAGGGTTTTGTGGGTTTCTCGATGCGCCTGAAGTTCTTCGAGACATATGCTAAATACATCTGCGAGGATAGCATTCCCGTGAAGAGATGATAATGAGAGAGGTGAATGTCTCTCGGTGAATGCTGTTGATAGCTTGTCTGAAGAAAGTCTTCTGCCGTGCGTAGAATGACAGTCAGAAATGGCTTGATGTTATGTAACTATTTCGCAGCACTGCTCCTATATCCTCTTACTTCCCGATGAGATAACTCGAAACAGGCAGACCAATTGCCTTATATGTTGGCAATGTTTTTATTTTATGCTCAAAGTGCTGCCGGCGCGCGATTTCGTGTTGTTAAACATCGTAATTTATGTGCCACTGATTGTCGTCTCTTTCCGCTCATATTGGTAGCTTCTGACGGCCATGTTGTCTCAACATCATATGTCTAATCTCTTGTTTATTACTGGATCACTGAGGCCAAATCACCTTGACTGCATTGGAGATTACTGTTTCCCTAAGCAGTCCGCTA